TAAAATGAATCCAAGTCAGAAAAGAAGAAGTAAAACTGTCACTGTTTGCTGATGACATGATACTATACATAGAGAATCCTAAAGATGCTACCAGAAAACTACTAGAGCTAATCAATGCATTTGGTAAAGTAGCAGGATACAAAATTAATGCATAGAAATCTCTTGCAACCCTATACACTAATGATGAAAAATCCAAAAGAGAAATTAAGGAAACACTCCCATTTACCACTGCAACAAAAAGAATAAAATACCTAGGAATAAACCCACCTATAAGGAGACAAAAGACCTGTATGCAGAAAACTATAAGACACTGATGAAAGAAATTAAAGACACTACAAACAGATGGAGAGATATACCATGTTCTTGGATTGGAAGAATCAACATTTTGAAAATGACTCTACTACCCAAAGCAATCTACAGATTCAGTGCAATCCCTATTGAACTACCAATGCCATTTTTCACAGAACTAAAACAAAAAATTTCAAAGTTTGTATGGAAACACAAAAGACCCCGAATAGCCAAAGCAATCTTGAGAAAGAGAAATGGAGCTGGAGGAATCAGGCTCCCAGTCTTCAGACTATAGTACACAGCTACAGTAATCAAGACAGTATGGTACTGGCACAAAAACAGAAATATAGATCAATGGAACAGGATAGAAAGCACAGACATAAACCCACGCACATATGGTCACCTTATGTTTGATAAAGGAGGCAAGAATATACAATGGAGAAAAGACAGCCTCTTCAATAAGTGGTGCTGGGAAAACTGGACAGCTACATGTAAAAGAATGAAATTAGAACACTCCCTAACACCATACACAAAAGTACACTCAAAATGGATTAATGACCTAAATGTAAGGCCAGACACTATAAAACTCTTAAGGAAAACACAGGCAGAACACTCTATGACATAAATCACAGCAAGATCCTTTTTGACCCACCTCCTAGAGAAATGGAAATAAAAACAAAAATAAACAAATGGGATCTAATGAAACTTAAAAGTTTTTGCACAGCAAAGGAAACCATAAGACGAAAAGACAATGCTCAGATTGGGAGAAAATATTTGCAAATAAAGCAACTGACAAAGGATTAATCTCCAAAATATACAAGCAGCTCATGCAGCTCAATATCAAAAAAGCAAACAAACCAATCCAAAAACGGGTAGAAGGCATAAATAGACATTTCTCCAAAGAAGATATACAGATTGCCAACAAACACAAGAAAGGGCGCTCAACAGCACTAATCATTAGAGAAATGCAAATCAAAACTACAATGAGATATTATCTCACACCAGTCAGAATGGCCATCATCAAAATATATACAAACAATAAATGCTTGAGAGGGTGTGGAGAAAAGGGAACCCTCTTGCACTGTTGTTGGGAATGTAAATTGTTACAGCCACTATGGAGAACAGTCTGGAGGTTCCTTAAAAAACTAAAAATAGAACCACCATATGATCCACAATCCCACTGCTGGGCATATACCCTGAGAAAACCATAATTCAAAAAGAGTCATGTACCAAAATGTTCATTGCAGCTCTATTTACAATAGCCAGGACATGGAAGCAACCTAAGTGTCCATCAACAGATTAATGGATAAAGAAGATGTGGCACATACATATAATGGAATATTAGTCGGCCATGAAAAGAAACAAAATTGAGTTATCTGAAGTGAGGTGGATGGACCTAGAGACTGTCATACGGAGTGAAGTAAGTCAGAAAAACAAATACCATATGCTAACACATGTATATGGAATGTAAAAAAAAAAATGGTTCTGAAGAACCAAGGGGTAGGACAGGAATAAAGACACAGACGTAGAGAATGGACTTGAGGACACGGGGAGGGGGAAGGGTAAGCTGTGATGAAGTGAGAGAGTGGCATGGACATATATACACAACCAAATGTAAAATAGATAGCTGGTGGGAAGCAGCCGCATAGCGCAGGGAGATCAGCTTGGTGCTCTGTGACCACCTAGAGGGGTGGGAGAGGGAGGATGGGAGGGAGACGCAAGAGGGAGGAGATGTGGGGATAAGTGTATATGTATAGCTGATTCACTTTGTTATACAGCAGAAACTAACACACCATTGTAAAGCAATTTTACTCCAATAAAGATGTTTTAAAAAATAAATAAAATGAAATTTCTATTCTATCCCTTAATATGTTCATGTTTGCTAAGTTTTAAGATTCAGATTACATGGAAGAAAATTTATACCTTTACAACTATGCCAGTCTAATAACAGTAGTTTGTTCATTAACTATTTTTACTTGCTTTCCAATTTTTCTTTGAGCAATGAATAAGAAGAAAACAGTACTTCCAGAAGAAAGCAGTACTTCAGTTAAAATAGAAAAACATTATAAAATATTTTGTCCGCTTAAAACATACGTTTGTCCACAAAATCATTTTTTTCTTACATATTGTTATAAAATAGCTTTTTCAGCTTTCTCATTGTAGCTTGATTTGTAAGAGATTTCAACAATGTCAGCCAAGAACTTTTTCACTTTTTACAAGCTGCTATACTTGTTTTGTACAGCGAATACACACAAGTGGATATAATCTATAATCAGCCTACATATTCTTTGGCAATAAATGCAATACTCAGGGACGTGTTATAAACTCTAGTATCTTCCTGTTACATAAGTGGCTCAGAAGAGATAGAAAAGCTTCCCAAAGAGTTTAGCTTACTTCCAGAGAGAAATCTGGCTCACCCACTCACAGATAAGAAATATATAGACACTTTGAATAAGCTTCATGATTGCAATATGTGAGAATATTCATTCCTTTTACTTTCCCCTTGAGAAAGTTAGATTTAATTGAACATTTATTTTAGGATGAAGAAAAAAAAGAAAACCGCTGTTTCCTGAACCTGAAAACAAATCAAGGGCAATTTTTTCCCCTGAAATTTATCTGCATCTCTGCCTCTTTATGGCCTCTATCTGTGAAAGCAGAGCTGCAATAAGTTCATGTATTCATTAAATAAACATTGGTGGAGGACATACTAGGTATATATGACAGTAACCAAGATAGACATTGTCCTTTCTCTTCATGACACTGACATTTTCATGGGGAGATAGACAAAGAAAACGATCAACAAGCAAAATCATTGCAAATTTTGATAAGTACAACAAAAGAAATTGCTTGACAGGATAAGATCTCCAGATATAGCAATGAAGAAAGGTCTCTTCGGGGAGAGGCTATTTTAGCTGAGATAGGAGGAAACAAGCGGGATAAAGAGTGATTCAGGCAGGGAGAACAATGGCCTTGAAACAGGAAAGAACTTGAGGATGGCCAAGGGGTGTGGGTATAATGTTTCTGGCTCCATGGGAAACAGGGTTAGGCAGAGAAGCAGAGGCTGGATTCCAGAAGCTCCGAGTTTAATGCGTTTGGATTTATTCTAAGTGTGAGGGCAAGTCATTGAAGATTTTAAGCTAGATAAAGATAATCTTATTATTCTGCCTACCTTGTGGAAGATGCATTAGGGGAGGCCAAGGATAATAGAGAGAGAAGTTTAAAAACAAAAACTTTTTTTAAAGAGACCCGGCAACCAGGGATAACTGTCGGAGCCAGGATGGAGGTAGAAAAAAACTTTGTGATATATGTTGGAAGGGAGAGTTGATGGAAGTTGTTGATGGCTTTGAAGTGGGAGGAGAGGTAAAGGGAGAAAGCAAAGAGGACTCCTCTGTTTCTGGCTTGAGTGAGTGGATCTTGGTGCCTTTTACTAAAAAGGCCACATTTCAGGGCTTCCCTGGTGGCGCAGTGGTTGAGAGTCCGTCTGCCGATGCAGGGGACACGGGTTCGTGCCCCGGTCCGGGAGGATCCCTCATGCCGCGGGGCGGCTGGGCCCGTGAGCCATTGCCGCTGAGCCTGCGCGTCCAGAGCCTGTGCTCTGCAACGGGAGAGGCCACGGCAGTGAGAGGCCCTTGTACCGCAAAAAAAATAATAATTTAAAAGTAAATAAAAAGGCCATATTTCATATCTGTACAAGGAATACAACAGTTTTTCTTACTTGTTAGTGTTTCAAATGATGTTAAGCATACAATGTGAGACTTTTACCTTTTATCTCACGCTTATCAGTTTTTTTATTGGCTCATAAGTATAGATTTCTACAGTTACGCAATACATTACATGGATAATGTTGATATCAGTTGTTGTTTTTAAAAATGAAAGACTCCTACTCTTAGAAGCAATTTCTTACGTATATCCAGTGGATGTGACACTAACGTTTATCATCGAAAAATAAGCACAAGAGTTGATGTAAAGCTTTCTCTCAAGTATCCATTGTGTGGTCCATAATTCACCCTGAAGAGCTGGTACTATGATAGCAAGAGGTTCTCTCAAATATATTTATAACAATATAACCGTAGATTTCTGTTTTATACAGGTCAGTGGAGAATCATCACTGCTGAATCAAGGTATCTAACTTCTTGAATGTCTGAATTTAAAAAGAATACATTTCTGCTAAGATTCCTATCAACTCTTGCTGATTATGTTTCATAAAAGCAAATTCTTGTACAGTGGGCTTTTAAAAGGACCAATTTTCTGCTTCTCCTGACTATATGAGACATTCAGGAATTAATGAAAAAAACAATGCCTGTCTGGTTTGTAAGCATCACAGTCATATTTCTGCATAAATTCTCATAGGTCAACTCAAAAAACAGTTCAGAGTCAAAATCTCATCTAGTCACCTAGATTGAAAACTAATTTCTTTAAAGTATATCCTATATTAAAGCTCTTTCATGCAAATAAATAGCAAGTGCCTTATCCTCTCTTCCTTTATTAGTTGGGCATGTCATGAATTTGAATAGAACATTTTGTTCTGTACTCTAATTACATGCATTATCAGGAAAAATCTATTCCTTGCATACATATCATTAGAAGCAGCTCTGCGAGTGTGGTTCTATCATAGGGCTCATCACGGCAGTTCATCGTAATATAGACAGTTTAATCTTTTTGTTTCATACAAGATTAAAAGTCACTTGATATCCATTTCTTTATAGCTTGGACAGTGAATCCAATTGGACTCAATGCGTGTCTAACTACCATCTCTATAGTGAAGATGGACTCCATTTTCCCAAATATACTGGGTAATTATCTGCCATTATGGGGAAAATAGTTCATTGATGAGAAAACCCAAGAAAACTGATTTTCTAAAAAATAATGTTTACTCACAGCTAAGTGGCTGAACAAGAGGAATCAACGATATCCTTTCCCTTCAGATGAACAGACAAACCAGAATTGTCACCACCTCTTTGGCAGTTTGAGGACATGGTGGTTCTGCTTGGTCATTTGGTTTATTGGCTGTTGAAACCTAATACCTTTGAAAAGAAATGACTTTTCAAAGCCCTTTATTGGATCTCAGGATCTGTCAGTAAAAAGAAAGAAAAAATAAATAGATGGAATTTGGACGCAAAGAAAAATGACCTTCATTCAAAAACTACTTATTAAAATGATAGTACAATGCACTTCGTCTATGAGGTGTCGAGTCACAAATAAGAAATATGGGAAACTGTAGAACTGTTGAAATTTAAATTATGTGGCACCTTTCCATCAGAAATGCAACAGCGATTTAGAGCTCAGCTGTCCTGGCAGGTCTATGTTTCAGTAAACAAACAAAAGGACTTTCTTGAATGCAATGCCAGCCACAGGAAAAGATCCACATGGATTGGAAAGAATGTTGGGAAATTGATGTGGTTTATTCCTCTTGTTCAATATATTTACATATTTTACCCATACTTATATTTATACTGAGGATCAAATTAATATGAATGAGAGTCAGCACATCCCGTTGGAATATTCTGAAACACCACCTGTTAGAATAACTGGAAAATGGAGCCTCGGAAAGAGGAAGCAGTTTTCAACTCTTTATAATCCTGCAAACATTCTAGTTTAATTTCTGAACCACATCATGTGTGTTATCTCACAACTGAGCTGATTTTCCAACAAGTGCCTAGAACTGTACAAATGAGGACATGTTTTGCTACTCAATAAAAATAAATGGGTTTGAATAGAAAGGAGAGTTTTGAAGAGTGGTCTTGAATCCTTGGGAGATGTTTTTGGTGCTTTGAAAGGAGCAGCAGATAGCTTCCCTGTTGTCTGTTAGGGGCGTCCCCCTCACCTTTTCTCCCCTGAGATGAGAGTGGGCATCGTCACTTCCTCATTCTCATCATCGTTGCAACAGTCACTTAGGAAAACCTGAGATGCTGGGAAGCTTTTCTTGGAGACCCAGGCATTTTTACCCAAAGGCTTAGAGGCAGATAACGAGGCTATAGGGTCAGGCTATGAAAAAGTTGGTCATCCAGTTCTCCTTGCCCAGGTAGACCTGAAGAATTGATGGTAGGAGGCAATCACACTGGCCCTTTGTCAGTACAGAGGATCAAATTCAGCTGCTGGTTGTCGTTGCTTGCCTTGGGGGTGATTTTTTAGGATTTTCTTTTGTTTCCTATCTTGTTACCCATGCTTGTAGGATGTAGGGCTAAGCAGTCAAACCTAGAGGGTTTCTAAAAGATTCTTATGGTTGTTCACTTTCTGTTTTTTGCAGCTTTTCTCTGCTCTAACCAAGGTGAGGCTGTATATTGAATTCATTCTAATACAGGCACTTTGGGAAGGGTCTGTGAGTTGTGCCAGGCTATTATTGTTATATGCACTATTCTTAAAGCCCAACTTGTTGGAAGGCTTTTTTTTGAATTCCAAAGACTTGCCCTGGGAAGAAATGTGTCATAATTAATCAATAGCCACTTTCACCTCTTCTCTCCTACTCTGACGTTAGTCAGCAATTGCAACAGGGCAATTACGAAAACTAAAATGCTCTGTCATATCTATTCCTCAAATTGAAGGATAAAGTAAATGAGTTGTGATGGAATAATTATCAGACAGTAAGAGTACTTTTCAGGAAAGAATGTTTCTTAACCTTTTCTAAATAGTAAGTATCTTCTCAATCTTAGAGGAGAGGTGTAATTTATTTTTTAAAGTGTGAAAATATTCTTAGGATGTTAAGAAGTCAAACACACAAGTAGAGGGAATATGAGAAGAGATAAAGACTCCATTTGAATTGGAAATGGGGGGAAACACCACTCAACAACACCAGCATACATCTTACTTGCCTGGGTCACTCAGCCACCTCTAGCTTCATTAGAGTCTGAGGAAGTAAGTTGACTTTAGCTGGGAACACAGTATTCTTGCCTGCACAAAATCAGCGTGTTGTTAGTAAGGACAAAGGGAAGAATAGATGTTGAACAGGCAGTGAACAATGTCTGCCATACTATGAAAATGCTGCTCATATCATTCAAATGGTTCAATCTGGAAGTGAACCAGGTGGTTTATGCTCATGGACACAACTTTGTGATTCTTTACTCTTCCTTCTTTATTTTAAGCACAACCAAAGAGAGAGTGGGTATTTCATATATATTTTACATGGTTGCCTTCATCTGTTCCATGACCTGTTTCCCTTAATGAAACTGATGCCCATGTTGTTTCGCAGGAAAGGCTTTCCCAGCACATTGTATTGGAGGATGGCACTGTCAGCCCACTACCTGGTAGGGTTGTGTTGAGATTTCTGTCTTCTGAAGATGGGAGTGAATTGTCAGTAACCCATCCAGACTCTAATTTCTCTGGGCTTTTTGGTCATTTCTAGACCTCTTAGAGGGCATAACACATGTCTAAAATAGAAAAAGACAAAGTTAACTGAACTAGACTTGTCCTCATCAGATATATTATTCACTAAGGGACCAGAGTGACATTTGAAAATGTCCCCTCGATCATGTCATTACCAAATGTTATGATAGTTTTTTGTATGCCTTCCCCTCTGATAGGAAATAATACTCTAACCCCTTGGCATGACATTTAATGGCCTCTGTGATTTGACCTCCTCCTACTTCACCACCAGGTGATCCTCAGCCTCCCCTTTGGCCTCAAGTAACATGAAATTGCCTGCCCTTCCTCATATCTATCAGGCTGTTTCCCACTGTTCTGCCTTTGTACTTGCTATGACTTCTTTCAGGAGTACCCCTCCCCCCACTTCCTCACCTCCCTACCTCTTACTCAATCTTTAAGTCACAGGTTCTCAGTTCAGTGATCTCCCCCGTTCCCAGCCAGGGGACTTAGGGAATATCTGGAGACACTTATGGTCATCCCAGCTGAGAAGAGGGTGCTACTGCATCGAGTAGGTAGAGGCCAGGGATGTTGCTAAACAACCTGTAATTCTCAGAACAGCCCCGTACAACAAAGAATTATCTAGCCCAAAATGTCAGTCCTGCCAAGGGTTGAGACATGCTTCTTTATGTGTTGACCCCTCCAGAAGAAAACTGTTTCTGAACTTTCCGTTACTGTCTCAGGTACCTCCCTTAACGTTGCCATAAAACTACTAAGACTTCTTAAGAACCTTATACTTTGGTGATTAAGAACTTAGAGTCAGAACCTTTGATTTTGAGCTCAGTTTTACCACTCTGTCCACTGGCAAGTTATTGAGCCTCCATTTCTTTATCTGCAAAATTTGGTATCTAATTCTTGCGGTTGTGGTGAGATTGAATGAGACAATGCATGTGAAGTGCTCAGTACAGTGTTGGCAGCTCAGTATAGAGTAGCTGCTACTGCTGCTGTTGTTGTTATTGCGCTTATCCTTATCTATCACTCTACTTCTAGGACCAGAGATGGATTTACCAAGAAACCAGGGAAGTTCAAACTTCCGGGCCCCTCATTTTGCTTGGGGCCCTTCCAATGCCCTGTACCTTATTCTGTATTCAAGATTTTACATTATTGTCTCGAAGACACCTCCCCCCCCCCCCCCCCCCCCCGCCCCTGCTTCCTCTGCCTATTGTATAAGCTCCAGGCCCTACAGAATTTAGACTTGCCTCTGGTCAGGGTCTAGTATAAAGCCCTGATATTGGGACACAGAACATATTCATCCACGGCAATAATCATAAGCAAGATGCCAACCATCCTGGAGAGGAATGTGCTTATGCACTGCTGTGTGGTTTTCAAAAAACCCTTCAGGCTTAAACTCCCATTGCTGCCCCTCTTTCTTATTGTTGGGGTCCTCTGGAAGGCATTGCAGCCTGTCATTCAGGCTCCTTTTGTTTTCTCTTTCCAGTTGAGGATTCACCATTGTCACAAGGACAAGGAGGAAAGAAAGTATGTGCTATCACTGATTATTTACTGAAGAGAATTCTGATGTAACTGCCAAGAGCAAAGCCCTGTTTCCATGGGGACTATCTGGGTCTGGGAAACGTCTGTTAGCACAAAATTCAACTTATTACAGTATTTGCTATGCAGTTTTCTGACTTGCATAGCCTCTCAACCTCAGCTGGCTCCAACATCCTGCCTACATTTTCAGAGATAAATACTTGTGTATGTGTCTGTGAGTGGCTTCCAGCCTTCCAGTGTCAAGGTTGACATGACAGGAAGGAGAGAGCTGGACAGGTCAATAAGGAAAAAAACCCCATGATGTTTGAATAATTCCCAAGTCTGAGCTGGCGTTGAAAACTACATGAGGCATTGGAATTCTGTCCACAGAGAAGTCCAGTGACAGACACCTAATAAAAATGGAAAGATAATAATAGAAAAAGGATTGCAAGAAAATTAAACTCTTAAGGTAGGAAGACTCAAATAAGAATGAGAAATAATAATGCAAATATCAAACTTTTCTCACTGTATGGCTGATTGATCAAGGAGGATAGCTTATAGCTTTTCTTCCTTTAAATTTGTTATCTAATCATTATCTTATAGCATCCATCCTTCAGAGTAGAAATCACACAGGTCTTCATTGAGAAACCATAGGCAGAATCTTCTCCTTGAGTGATTTCCATCAGCAACTGTATTTTTCATCAGTCCTTATTCTGATTAGGATGAAAGCTGGGGAGGGAACAGCCCCATTTAATCCTTTTGATCTAAGAAAAAGTAGAAGATGAAGCAAAAAAGAAATGTTTCACCATGGGAGAAGCTCTCATCTGCTTGCCTGTGATCCTCAATTTCCTTATCTGTAAAATGAGGTTAATAATATTCACCCATTAGATTTTTGCAGAGTATAAATGAGGCGAGGCATGGGAGAGATCTGTATCATGGTGCTTTCTCCTCAGAGACTATTTTCCAT